TGCTGAACCTGGACACCGATTCCCAGGGCACTGAGTCATCCTGCCTGCTTGGCCTTCTTCCCCAGGGCCCTTTGTGGTGGGTCAATGCAGTCACTCGCAAAGTAGGATCAAAATGGGTGTTCTTACGCTGCTGCTGATCTGCCTTCCACGCCAGGTGAGATGTCTCTGTCGGCCATCCCGTGACTTTTGGCGTCTGAAGCCTGTGGCTTTCTGGTCACAGGTGGAGCCTAACCCCTACCCTTCTTCTGTCAGGTGTAACCTCTTCTCTGCTGAAACAGCAGGAGTTTCACTGTCTCCTATGGCCTGTCACAGTCCTCCAGCTAAAATGTAGCCGCTAATATAATCTGACCTGGCATTAGAGTACAGCCGCAGCCGTCTCCGAGTCGCTCGGCTCTAATCCTTTGATTCACAGTGGCCATCTCAAACCCTAAGACCTGCCATGTCTCTTCCTTGGCCATCCTCGTGTCCTGCTGCAGCGCCCGTTCCCCTCCGTGGCTGTCGGTCTCCTTCCTAGCAAAGCCAGCTGATCCTCTACTGAAAAAAAAAATAAAAAATCTTTCCCTGGTGTGCTGCAGGTATGTGAGAGGCAGGACCTCGGGGCTGGCTCTGCCCCAACTCCCTGCGTAGATGCTGTCCTTGCGCGCGGCCGGCTGGAGCTGGCTCCTCGTCCCTCCAAGGACGGGAGGTGCTGGCAGGTAGGTGAGGTTGGTGGCCAAGAAGAGGTGATTCCCAGGGGGATGGACGTGCTTGGGCTTTGTGCCTCACCCACCGCTCCTTCCAGAGAGGCTTTTGGGGCGGCTTCGTGAAGGGGAAGCAAACGCACAAGCCCGGCTGCATCTTCCCACTCGTCAGGAGCCCACGGCCATGGTCTGTGCCGCTCAGTGCGTGATCCATCACCTCTGCTGTCGTCCTCCCCGGGCAGGAGCCAGTCTGAGCTATGGGTGGGATCCGACGGGATCCCTCTTCCCTCCTTTGGCCAGGGTTCTCCTGCCTGCGCACCCCATTCCTCCAGCATGGCTCCACTTTCTTTGCAGATAGATATGTTTTTCAAAGACTCAAGAAGTTGAGGGTTTTTTTGTCTAATGGATTTCCTGTTTTTAATACAATTGAAAGGGTCTGAAATCCATGCTTTAGATTAACATATGCCAACTAGATTAGGGCTAATCAGGGTGCAGGTCTGAGCAGATGCAGCGCAGGGCCAATCCTAGACCTGATTACAGTATCTCAGTAGTTTAATCGTCTCCCTCCCAAGGGCGATCATCTCTGCTTTAATGCACAGCAGACTTTCCAGCCCTCTCCTCCTTTGGTTTGTTACCACCCCTGGCAGGAAGGCCGCTACGTCAGATGCTGAGGCGATTTAGTTTAATCCCATGCAGAAAGGGATCTGCCTGTTGCCGTCTCTCGCGGAGACTTCCCTGCTCATCCGTGCGCTCCAAGATGTGGCCAAACCTTGGGTGACACAAACTCATTCTCTCCAATGAATACCCCTGTTGGATCGTCACATCTCACCATCTTTTGATTGCACCCATCTTTGGCAGCAGCCCTGCCCTGGCCAAGGTGTGTTTGAACAACACAGGGGGATCAGCTTTTTAATTTTCTGTGGTCCATGAGGATAGTGGTGACTCTGGTCTTTGGGTCAGTCATGGGCAGCGACCCCTGTTGGGTCTTTGCATCTCATCATCTTTTGATAGCACCCATCTTTGGCAGCAGCCCTAGGACGTACAGGGTGTGTGTGAACAGCACAGAGGGATCAGCTTTTTAATTTTCTGTGGTCCATGAGGATAGCGGTGACTCTGGGCTTTGGGTTGGCCATGGGCAGCGGCCCCCGTTGGGTCTTCACATCTCACCATCTTTTGATAGCACCCGTCTTTTGCAGCAGCCCTACCCTGGCCAAGGCGCATGTTTGAACAGCACGGAGGGATCAGGCTTTTAATGTTGCGTGCTCTGTGGTCCATGATGGGAGTGGGGACTCTGGTTTTTGGGTCGGCTGTGGGCAGTAGACTGTCACTTGAGAGCTCCAGTAAGCTCTGTTGGGCTAGCAGACCAAGTAACCCAAAGGGCTTAGTTGGGTTGTTGGTCTGGAGCGGGGATTTTAGGTGCATCCCAGGCCAGATATCCAGGTCTGTCCCAGCACCTGCTTAGACTGGGATGTGCTACGGTTCCTTATAGGGTCTGATAGGAGATTTTCTTTAAGAGGGCTGAGCACGAGCTCTCATGTCAGTGTTTTGTTGCCTAAAACTCTCATCTATTAGAAAGCACCCCGGGAGCTTTGTACCTTCTCCTGACTCCACGCCGCTCCTAGTGCTCGGTGTTGAACCCATCTCACCAGGAAAGCGATCCCTCAGTTGGGCTGTGAACTGGACAAACGCGGACGTAACCCTTCTGGTGTGGGGCAGCCCTTTGGTTGAGGGATCTCGAAACTTTCCTCCCCGTGGAGTGCTTTGAGCTCTTGAGAGGAGGGATGTCGAAGGACTGCAAAGCAAGCTGCGCTCTGCTGGGGTCACCCACCTGGTCAGCACGATTAACTCGTAAGCTTTCCTGTCTGTACAGTAAGTTATCTGAGGACACCGAGCCGTGCTCTGCCGCCTCGCGTTATTAAACGAGTGCCCTTGGTGGGACAGAGATCTGCTCTCTGCCACAGAAACCTGACTCAAAGAGATTGTACCACTTTTTTGGGAAAGCGTGGGTCAGGAACCCGCTGTCTTGAACCATTTGAACCCTGTTTCAGGGGTTGGCCATCCTGTCCTCATGGCTGGGAGGATTTGTTGACCCCTGAAAGCTTTTTTTTTTTTCCCAACAGGGGTGTGGATAGTTTCAGAAATGTCATGTACAGGGTAGAGTTTACACACTCGCTTGTCTAAATCACTCTTTACCAAGCCAAAGGCAGTGGTGGGTACAGGCAGGTAATGTGAGAGTAGAAAGATGAAGTTTATCTTGCCACCCCGTGGGATTTGCTATTCCCCTTGCCCTGCCCAGCTGTGTTGAGCAGTACCACCCCTCCTTGCTATTTTTTCCACCTCTTTTCATCATTCGCATCACAATATCCTCAGGGGCCTCGTTGTTTTGTTGTCGCCCTGCTTGGTGTTGCCTAGCTAACCCTGGCTTACCGCGTTTGCCGCAGCAGGGCTTTCCTCTGTGGCCAAAAACGCGCCCGAAGCTTTGCCGGTTCCAGCTTGGGGGCATCTGATCCCCTTCTGTTGCTGAGCCGCCCTTGGGAAAAAGATGTTTCCTACTTTGCTGGACCCATCCATAAGTGAAAAAGGGATGAGAAACTTGGTTTGCTTTCCTTTATCTCTGTTGTATGTCATATATATACGCGTGTGAGTGCCTGGAGCCAGTGTGGGTTGGCCAAAGCTCACTGGTCTCATGCTGCCCTTTGCCTGCCTTGGTGTGAAGGCAGAAGGACCTGGCTGAGATGGAGAGTGAGCTGGAGGAAAGGAATCGTGTTTGAGAGAGACCAGTGGCTGTACCAGGGGTCACGGGCAGGATGGGTGGTCTGTACAGTGACGGGATCCTTCTCCCGCGCCGTGAGAGTGGGAAGGCGTTTGAGCGGCATGTAGAGTTACAGGGGATGGAAGTCCTGCAGGAGGGAGAAGCCGAGTTTATCCCTTCTTCAGCCCCAGGATTCCCAATTCTGGGCAAATCAAGCGGAAAAATGTGGTTCAAAAGTGCGTTCCTCATCTGTGGGTGACTGCTGCTGGGCTGAGTGGTGGCATGCTCGTGGCTGCGGGAGAAATGCGTGGGAGCAATCCCTACCTCTAGCAAAACACGGCCTGACAGGGTTGGCTGTAGAGGTACCTGCTCTACCATCCCGTCGTCTTCTTTGGATTCCTCCTCCAAAAAGTTCTTATATCTTTGTCCCTTAAACTTATTCTCTCTCTCTGCCTCCAGACAGCCCGGCATGGGCTGAGCTCGCCACGCTGCCACCCAACCCTACCCCATCCCGTCCCTGCTCCCATCCCACGTGGTCCATGGCGGGTGACTTGGGCACAGCGAGGCCACCGAGGCACAAATAATGACACCAGCACGGACACTGCCGGGTGGGAAGCAGATGTCTTTCCCAACTGCTGGCTTTCCATGCGTAGAATCATAGAATGATTTGGGTGGGAAGGAACCTTTAAAGGTCATCTTGTCCAACCCCACTGCCATGGGCAGGGGCATCTTCAACTAGACCAGGTTGCTCAGAGCCCCGTCCAACCTGGCCTGGAATATTACCAGGGATGGGGCAGCCACCACCTCTCTGGGCAACCTGGGCCAGTGTCTCACCACGCTCAGCGTAGAATATTTCTTCCTGACATCTAGTCTGAATCTTCCCTCTTTTAGTTTAAAGCCGTTATCCTTTGTCTGGCTTGTACGGAGGACTCCAGAGCTGGACGCAGTACTCCAGGTGGGAGTACTCCGACGATCCAAAAGATCAGCTCCGGAGCAGCACTCCCCGTGTCGCACGCAGCCCCCAAACCCCTGGGGACCGCACCACGCCACGCGGCCACACCAGCCTCGTCCCTCGTGCCGCTCTCACTCCGCTCCTTCCCTCCCAACCCCACTCCTATTTATTTTTTTGTCTCTGCAGGTCTCGTCCAGATCCCCGTCAGCATGTACCAGACCGTGGTGACCAGCCTGGCCCAAGGCAACGGCCCCGTTCAGGTGGCGATGGCACCCGTTACCACGAGGATAGCGGACAGTGCCGTCACCATGGACGGGCAGGCAGTGGAAGTGGTGACCTTGGAACAGTGATGATGCCCAGAGCAGGATCATGGTGATTTTCCTCGTCTTTTACGCGAATAATTTTTTTACGCCTCTCCAGAGATGCAATCAGGTGGCATTGAGTCTCCCAGCTTTGGAAGTGAAGGTTTTGTTAAATTTTTTTTTTTTTTTTTTAAAAAAGGAAAAAAAAAAATAATATTAGCAGAGGATGTGTGTTAAGTGCATTTTTATAGCGCCACTCTGCTCTCGTACGAGTGAGAAGCCAAATTGTGACGGGACTTGCATTCCGAGGAGATTTAAAAGAAAACAAAACACAAAAGAAAAGCAACCCCTTAACCCCCCCCTTCCCCCCCGGCATGGGATCCGGCAGGGTGAGGCCTGGGGGGGCCGAGGCACGGGGCAGGGAGGGGGAAACACGAATGTCCTCGGCCAAAACTGCTCCGGCAGCATCGCCACCGCTCCCGGGCTGCGTCGGCACCTTCCTCTGCAGCACTTCTCGGGCCCG